AAAAAAACACAGCATATATATAAATATAAAACATAATGTTTCACTGAGTTTCTGGCCAAAATTAAGCTGAAGCATTCACTGAAAAGCCAAAAGGCTAATCAGTCCTAATAGTGCTACAGGATTTCCCTCAAATTTAGCTGCAGAAATTAAATAGGAAGCCAACTATCAGACATCTGATCAGAACTACTTTTGAAAAGTTAAAGGCATGGAGCACTCAGATCTGCTTCAAAGTACTTGTAGATAAAATGCCCTAACCAAGAGTGGATGTCATCATGGTACCCAAGGGCAGTGAGTATTTGGTGAACATTTCTGTTAGGCAGAATTATCCAGGTAATAGGCCAGGAATAAGCACTTGCAAGCTGGTATGGAGACTCCATGATGTCAGGTACCATGGCTCTCTCCATATTGTCCACCATCTCTAGAGTTTTACTCTCATCTGCATGGTTTAAGACATATTCTGTAACACATATAATTTTAAAGAAAAGGGATACTACACATAGTTTTGTAACCTGCTGTGTCCACTTTTAAATAAAAAAGAAAATAATGCCTTAGACCAAAAAAGAGAGCTAAGGCCATCATAACACTGATACTAATTTCAATCTGCTCGACACCAGGCAGCCAAGTCCCCATCTTCCTCTCCACATCACTCACCTGGTCAGTTTAATGGTGTTGTCTAGAGAAGCAGAGAGTAGTAAGCCTTTGGACCGACTGCTGAAAGCCAGTCCTCGGATCTGTTTGCTATGCATCGGAATGTACTGACTGCTTTTCATGTTGGCAGTACTCAACATCTTAACACCAAAGCCTGCCAAAGAAGAGATAGTATGAAACAGATCAATGAAAGCCAACTTAAGGCAAAGCAAACTACCTTTTCAAGTAGCTCCTTTGTCCACTTTTCTTGGCATGTAAGTCCTTGGGAAACAGCTGGTGAAACAAAGAAAATAAAAATTCCCTAGTGTTAAATTATTTATTTAAAAAAGTACAATCCATTCCAAATGTCCATCAACAGGTAAATGGATAAATAAATCTATGGTACATACATATAATGAAATACTAACTATTGATATATACTATAAAAAAACTATGCTGAAATAAGTCAAACCAAGGCTGGGC